GTCACTTTGAATTTGAATCTGCTCAGAATGTTTATGTCTCACATGGTTTCCTTTTAGTTAATGAAAACATTTCATATACTTTTCAGTTTGCTGACATTTTTTTTGAATATGCACTGCTTAAAACAATGGAACTTTGTCCCACAGAATTCCAGAAATAATCATATCAAATTATAAAAATACTGCTAACTATGTGTGCCAGATGCAAAGAAAAGCACTGACTACTGGTAGTCAGAAGAATGCTCACAAGAACGGAATAATACAACACAGACAATATAATCTTCATTTCTTTCTTTTGCATCCAGTACCAATGCTTTTGCATTAGCTGCCATTATTACAGAAACAAGAATAGCATCTGCAAAACTAAAATTGAATTGTTTGGTAAAGGGAGAGAAAGAAGCAGCACATTAAAATTTGAAAACATAGATAGCAAATTTTAATCCATATTTTAAATTGACAAAGCCAGAATTATTTATAAAGCCTTTCCCATTAAGTTTGCAGGAAATAAAGGTGAGAAATCACGCCTTGCTACACAAACATTTTATTACATTTACCCACCACCAGTATCAATCCACCATAATACCACTGCTCCTCAAGAAGGTAAGTGTTGGGGAAAGCAGCTGCAGTGCATTGCCTCTGGCTGCCCATGGCTCCCATGTGAAGTTCCTTAACACCTTGTTGGCAGAGAGTGACAATGCCCAAGGCTTCTTATGGTGACACCTTCACGATATCAAGGCCGGATTAAGGTATCATGACATTTAATATGCTCCTGAAAACTTGTCTTCAGGAGCCACTTGAGTTTCTAAATGGTGACTGAGTGTGGAGAAGAACCTGGAGTCCAGGCAAATAACTTGAATTTCCCAGACTATGAGGAATGATGGGTGAGAAAAGGGGTATCCACCCCTAGGCAGGTGGCCTTGTTGTTGTCAGTCAGAAATGGATGCTCCTGCTGCTATTTCTGCCATGCAAGCGTGACATGGTCCCTTTTCTAGGAGATTAGGAAAGCCCAGAGCTGCCTGCTTCCCTCAGGGGGAAGGAGGTTCTGCAGCTGCAAGAGGCTCAGGGTGGTGCATGGGTCACTTTCAGCTGAACTGGGACTGGTTGCAGAAGAAGGGATCCCAGTGGGCATACACAAATGCCTTTCTATGAACAAGGCAGGATGTCCTTTCACTCTACAGAGCTTGACTTGCGATCCAGGCTTTTGCAAGAACACTTTCTCATGCACACTTTTTGGCTGTGTGGGCCAGTTACAGCCCAGCCCCATCCCCTGGGTGTCACAGAGGATGTGTCAGTGTGAGACCACACAAGGAGGATGGTGTGTGGTGCCATGCAAGTGCCATGCAAGTCAACAGGCGTTCTCCAGGTGACAGCTCCATTATGTAAATCTGGATCACTGGAAACAGTTGGGTGCTTTCAGCTCTACAAATTGCCTTTCACCATCTGAGTCCCCAGGTGAAATGCAGATAAGCAAACCTAATGCCTGAGACAAGGAAAGCCTTACTGGATACCAGATGGTTCATATGCAGATAAATGCATACGGAAGCATGTGGGATTTCAGTCTGGTGTGGAGGCTTCCACACTGAATATGTTTTGTTTCTCTTGGATCAGCGGTAGGGAAAGAAAGCTACACTGGCTTTATTAGACCTTCTGGGATGAGCCTCCAAAACACACAGCCAGGTATGGAAGCGGTGCAGGTTCTGCAGGGTGTCTGTAGTGTATCTGCTGGAAATAAAGGTAAACAGATTTTTTTTGTTGTTGATGTTGCATAATGTGCTATTTCATAAATTTGTAAATCTGTGCATTCTGTTCCAAAGAAAACAAAGCCTCTCAGCAAACAAGAGGTGCTTACATGTATGTGTGCTGTGTTCCTGGGCTGCCAAACAGTTCTCTTGGGAAGGAAGCCACTCAGGGTCCTGGAAAGCATTTTCTTTGGAGGACTGCTGCTGAAATATTTTCAATGAGGTTCTTTCTTTCACTTAGACATATTTCTTCCAGAAACTTTCCAAGGAAAAATAATATATTTTCTCTAAAATATTGGCTATCCAGAAACAAAGTACTCCAGTTAGACCTCAAACGAATTAGTAAATTCTGCAGTGCTGCATCCCTGGTGTTTTAATTCAGTTAATTTTTATCCTTTCCCTCCATGGGCCAAGTTCTCTGCATATGCCATAATTCACACCGAAATGGTAATTCCAACTCAGAAGAGATGAGACCTCCTGACACAGGTGAGATCTCGGGGCATTTGGGGTGAGCTCTGGTGTATAGATTAAATGGAAATATAAGACATGTGGACTTAAGCAATGCTTCATACTGAAGTTTGTTTGTGATGTAACTGAAGCTTTCTTTTGTATTTTGATGCCTACTGAATCAAAATTTTACCCGTAGGGCAGGGGTGGGATTTTGTCTGGGAATTCACAAAGTATCCCCTAGATTATCAGAGAGTAGTAACATGATGATGATTATTGACTGTCAAAATAATAAAACTCAGGCCCATAGAAGATTGTTACACCACAGTAAAACAAAACAACTTCTTTCAGAGGCTGCCAGGCTGGGTTTGTGTTCAAACTCTCCTCAGGCACAATGAGCCACACAGCGCTGCAGAGGTGCAGGTGGAAGGAGCAGAAGGTACATAACTGAAAGGACTGCCCTGACAGCCAACACACAGGATGAGACATTCCTGTGTGAAGATGGGATTCCTACAATGCAGTTGTAGGAACCAGATTGGAGGGCAGTAACCTGTTTTCTTTCTCTTGATCCTGTTGTGTGCAAAACAGTTTTATCTTCTCCCTTCTTGAAAGTCTTCTGTATCCACCAACCAACACAACAGATACTAATGGTGACCGTGCCATCTTTCTGTAACCTCATGAGAATATTTTTCATCCTCATGACACAGACCATCAAACTACATAGGATATGTAATCATATTCTTAGTTGCCTGAAGCAAAAGGCGATGCTTTAATATCTTACTATGATGTTGGATATTAATTTCCTTCCACTCAAATTCAAAGATGAGAGTTCCTGCCACTAATGGACTGTTACTTCATTTTTTAAAATTTATTTTGGAAACTGTTTGCATTACATGTAAGTCAAGCCAAAAATGAGACTGTTGGATATTTCCTTGCCAAAGCAGATTTACCATTCAACTCTTGTAATAAAAGGTTTTATTCAACAGTTTATAGAGCAGTTACTGGCTATCAGGTATCCATGATATATATTACCTAGTTGAATATTTCTTATAGGTGTATGTGCAAACTGCTCACATAAAAAAAAACTTGAGGGTAATTTGGCTCCAGCTGTCACTGAGCCAAGAGCAGGCCTGCCCACAGGTGCCTGGGTAGGCACACCTTCAAATCCTTGTATAGAATATTCCTTTTCCACTGTCATTCTTGAAAACATACTTTTCCCCTACCAGCGCTCATGAGTACCAAATAAAAGTCAAGAAATTGCCCTCAAAGGAAACTCTTCACTTTTCTTTAAATGAATACTTAATGAATCTACTTAAGAAGAAATTGCTCCAGGATATTTCTAGAACTATCTGTGAACAGAAACCTGTAAAATTAAAATATTAAATGTTAAACTTTTTTGTGGAATAGAATAAACCTTTCTTCGTCTTTCAGAGGGGTAAAAGTCCTGTGGCAAAGCACACTGCACACAGCTGCTGTGGTGGGGGGTGATAGTCCATCTGGGAACACTGACTACATCAAGACTAACAGGCAAAGCACAGCAGACACAACATGGAATCCTTAGGTTCTTGCTCCACCATTTCAGCTTATTTGGGCTCTTGGCTGTACCTGTCTTGTTGAAGGTGCTGGCCCATGTCTGAATAAGTGCAACTGTGCTGAGCAGCAGAAGTACTGCTTTACTTTAGTGGGTGAGGGGTCTTATGCTGTTTTCCAATGCAGAGCTTTAATTTGTAACAATAGTAGAACCCCTCATGAAATTTGATTTTTCAAGTATCTTCATGCCCACAAGAAGATGACAGGTATTACCTCTTGATGCAGAGAGAGGCAGAGAAATATCTGACATGAGACTTCATCTTTTGGCTCAGAGGCTGCCCCTCTGGAAGATGAGCGTGAGCCTCCGGCAGATTGCTGTGGTGTTTGCTGGCAAAGGAGGAGGAGAGCTTCAAGAGAAATATCTGCAGAAAAGATCCTGGCTGAAGTTAGACTGGTGCCTGGAGCGGGTGCAGGTGCTCAAAGCCACAGGCTGTGAGCAGCAGTAGTTTTAACAGAAGAAAAAACGCCTAGTGGAGTAAAATATATCATCATAAAATTTTAGCCATCAGGATGATCAAAAAGCAAAGTTTACCGATTCCTTAGAATTATCAATAGATAACTACAAATTTAAAAACAAGATCACCTTCACTGAGCTACACTTTCCTGCACCACTGTTTCTTGTCTTCTCTGAGACCTGCAGCTCTACCAGCACTGTGCAAACACAAATGTTTCCTCAGCCGTGCTGGCATGCATGGCACTGGCTTTCTGTTCTGTTTTCTACTTTAAATCTCTGCTCATTTTCTCACCTCTCTCTCTCTGTCATGTTTTCATTAACATGAGATTATTTTTGCTCTGCTTTCCTTCAGTCTTCGTATCGGGTTTAGTTGTAATTTATTTCCTGACCCTTTTTCTACTCTTAATGGTTTTGTTATTGACTGTATGATACCATAAGAGACTCAACACCTCTGTTTATAAGAGGTGCCCCTCAGGATTTTCCAGGCTTTCTTTTATATTCTTCATTGAAATTCTGTAATCCTGAGATCATACCTAGACCCTGGAAAATGGTGAAAAACTCATTATTGATTCCAGAGGGACAGGTCTGATCACTAAAATTAATGAGACTCCAGGGTTAAAATTTTCACAGCTCTAGCTGGCTTCAGTACCAATCCTCCTTGTGCATCTGAGGACACAATCCAAACCACAAGTCAGTAAACAATTAATTGACCTATTTTTTAAGAGGCTATATCAGAGTTAGTGGGCAATGTACTTAGGCAGCTTGAGGCAGAATTGAGGTCTCATTTTTTTAATGCTTCATATATTTATAGGTACTGAACTCTGAAGAAAAATGGTCATCATCATCATTGTACATTCCTGTCAAAAACACAAGTCAGAGAATTTCACTGCACCAACTCAGTTAAAGCACATATCAGAGAAGCATAAAGGGTTAATGATCCTCACATTTAAAATACACCCCATATTTACAGTCTGGATTTCACTCAAGCCCCTTGCTATAGGCTCTATAAATTTCCCTTTCCAACTGTATAAAACTCTGCTCACTTCTCTCAGCACAAGTACTTAGAGAGCGTGACCAGATTCTGAAAGCCATAAATTCTATGAATTTTGCAATATTTTGTGAGATGCTTCAGTATTGCTTTCATTTGCTTTTTCATTTTTTAACTATAAATAGAGCCTTCTTTCTGCAACCAGTCTCCAAAGGTCACCTTAAAATGTTTTGCTATTTCCCATATTAAGCAGCAATGCTTTTCAGCTGACATTCCAACTTCAAGTCATGCATGTGAGCATGATGTGAGCTTGCTTCAGACCTCAGTGAGAGGGCTGCAAACAAGACTGCTGTATAATTGCTGAGAAAAATAACATCCATTGTCAAAAGGGGCACTTCATCAAACAAAATTTAGCTGCATGAATACAAGTGTCTCCAAATATTTGGTTCATGCTAAAAATATAGCACATTTATTAAAAATATATATTTATAAACATTGGTATGAACAGACACAGATGTTAAGCAAATGAGAAAGGAAAAATAACCATGTAATGTATTTCTCCCAACATTTTATCAGGTTTAGGCAGACCTTGCTCAATGGAATTGTTTTTTTCATGATTGCACCATATGTTCATTCTAAATAAAAAGCTTGTCAGATTCAATGTAAGTAAAAGCAAAAACCAAGAGAAAAAACCATTTGACCTAACAGACACGTGATCTGTGCTATGAAGCTATCTTTGAGTTCAATCTTTGCGGGTATACAGCATACATTTCTAATTATATATAGTGTACAGTTTCTTTTCCTTTTTTCCCTTTTTTTTTTCTTTTCCTTTTTTTTTCTTTTTGTTGTGTTAAAACAACATATCCCTGGTGGATTTCTTCAAAGCTACAACTTACATAACTGCAGTCATTCTCCCCCAAACTGAAAACCAAACCGAAAGGGAGAGGGCAGGAGAGAAGAGTTAAGCTTATTACTGTGTGAAAAAGTCTTGTTAAATTAATTGTGCTTCAGTCTTCGCTGCCTTCAGGCAGTGCTTTTATGATGTGTTAATATAATACAGAGTCAATTCTGATTAAAGAACTTGTCAATAGTCGGCAATGTTTGTTGTCACTCTTAATGGCCGTTTTATCTGGTCTATTTGCATGCCTTCTAGTTTACAACGTTGTATAAATATACACAAAAATGATCACAATGAGGTTCAGAATTGTCCCAATAATTCCAAGCATTGCCAAGATGGTTTCTTCTTTGCTTTCCTTTTCTTGACTGCCTTTATCTTCTTCATTTCCACTAGTGATTACCATCTTGGTGGCCAGTTTCTTTATCTTCCCCTTCAGAATAACCTAGATTTAGGAACAAAAACATCAAAATGGATTATTAGTTGTAGTATAGAAATTCATATTAATAGTGGAGCCAATGGTAGAATTTTTGCCTCATAACACATTTTATTAAAAATTCACTTGAAAAAGATTAGTATTCCTATTAGTTATTAAGTAAATAATTGAAATTATAGTTTGGCTATTCTGTGGTTTACATATAACCCTCTGCTTACATGCCAGCAATTACTCCTAGCACACATAATGCAGCTGCTATATCATTACAAAACTGGTCAGAAAAGTACCATGAGGTGTGACTCCTCCAGCATCAGTGGGGACTTTGCCTGCACTGGGACTGCAGGAGATCATCTTGCCATGCTGTGGACACCCCATATTTACATTTCAGAACCAAGAAGCGAGGGAAATAAAACTGGGAAGGCCTTGCCTCTTTTTTACTAGGAAAAAATCATTAAAGAGAAAGGCATTTTGTCTCCCGATGAGAAGGAAGACAGCAGTGACTTCTTAATAAATAATTCAAAATAAAAGCAAAACCAAAATAACATCCATCTTGGCTTTTATTTTCCTCGTTCTTAATGTACGATGAAAAGTTACTTGCAGTGCAGTGAGCTGAAATGTATTGATCTGCCTGCAGGGAGAATACAGCCATTTCCCAAGCAACAGCCCCAGCCTAAAAAAAGATTCTTCAAATGTGGGATGAGCCCTGATTCCTGACTCCCAGCACAGCTGAAGCCACAAACAAAGAAGCTCCCTTGATCTTCCCACGATGGATAAACATCTGATTGTTCAAATTAGAAATGGATAAATTCTTATCTGTGTTTATCTAACACTGCAAATTTTAATCACATGGGCAAAACAGAGTGTCCCAGAAAACTGAAAAAGGTTGGCTGGTCTCCCAGTGCCAAGCGATCTGCCAAGATCTGGGTTCAGGCAAAGCCCTGCTGCTGTCTTCCAAGCTACTAACCATATCCCATCGTATTTCTGCAGCAGAAAGCAGATTGACTGGGACCAAACAAAAAAATTTGTTCCCCAACAGCTCCTGCCTAAAAGAGAGATTTGATTTGGTCCTTTAGTGGACCCTCATTCCTCCCTCCACTAACTCACAGAGCAAAAGCAGTACCTCCCAGGCAGTGCACATATTCAGAGTGGTGAGGGCTCCCCAAGAACTGACCATCTCTGTGAGCACATCCCCTCCAGCAGGTATCATCAGAGGAGAGTCCTGACCTGCAGCTCCTTCGAGCTGCTCCTGCACTGCACAGCTGCAGAGCAGCAGCCAGAGTACTGAAATGATGGAAAGGACTGGGAGAAGTAAGGAATCCTGCAATGGAGAGACTGAGAGGCAGAACTCAGGATCCAGGCAAAACAACCTGTATTTTTGTCACATCCGCAAGTTGTTCATATATAGGACAGAGAATAACTGCTGGCAACTTCCTAGAAGTGTTTGATTTCCAGCAGGTACAAGTGGTTAGTGACAAGTAAGGCAGCAATGGGGCTCTGCAGAGGCCTTTGTACTTACACTTGCATTAGCATTTACATGTTTTGTCTTACTGTAACTGTGGATCAGAGGAAAAAATAACAATGGAGTCAGAAACCTGAGAGTATCCACAGCAGACAGCAGTCAGTGAGAGCAGTGGGTACGAAGGAGAAGGGCATCAAACATCAGAGCATGATCATCCAGAAGGTCTTTGGATAACCTGCCCTAGGAAAGCAAAATTTCACAGGCACCAGCCAAACCTCACAGGGATAGGCTGTCCCTCTCCAGATTCCCTTCCAGCCCTCAGAAATTTTGTCTCCAATGTTTTTTTCAGCCACAGCCATCTCCAACTCTTCCTGCAGGATCTACCTCTTCTAGTTGCAGAAGGGTTTTGTTGTATTTGCCCCAGCTGGTGTCCAGAGGAGGGTTTGGCTGCCCCTGGTCCTGGCGTGTCCTCCCTATCTTGTTAATTGCCACTGAGCAGTCAGTGGGATCTTTACAAGCAACTTGTTTCTGGGAAATGACAGGAGAGTTCCTACCAGAGCCATTTAGGCTAACGTCACAACCTAAGTGCATCCACTCCATGTGGCATCGGACCACAAACCCACATCCCAGGCTATGACACGCAGCCATGACTTCACCCACAGAGCCATGAGTCATTCGGATATTGTGTTATTTTCCCCTTCAGTAACTGGAAGGTTTTCCCTCTGGCCAACTGTTTGCATTTCAGTGTTTATTTGAGAAATCAACTAGGATTACAAATATAGTCTGATAAAATCCCAGGCCTGGAATGCAAGAATTTGAGGGGAGGGTAAAGTTCTTTCTGGCTGGTTCCCGCAAGAGCTGAACAATCTTGATTCATCATTCTGGTTCCCACAGAAATATGATCATGCCTAAGCATCTTGCGGGTCAAGCCTTTCTGTCTTGATAAAAGCCAGAGAAGGTACAATTTGACTCCACATCCCATGGTTTGGGCAGAGTTTCCCATTCACACCAAAAAACCCGCAGAGAGTGGTGCAGAGCCCCAGCTGGGGCGCCTTTGCTCTGCAGCCACTGGCACTCAACTTCGGTACAGTCACCCTGCACCACAAGCACTTAGGAAATCCTGATTCCAGGATTAATGTGAACAGAGGCAGCAGCATGGGGGCTCAGACAGTGTCTGATCTCCTGTTATTAACATCCCCATTTTTTCTTAATAAACTGTGCAGCACGAAGTCAATATCAAATTCTCTCCTGCAGAACGCTAGATCCTAAAATTAACATCAATCTAAAAAATAGCTAAATAATTCACAAACGAAGGAGACATATCATAGACTATTAGATATAAAGACAAAGCCTCTGGCTTAGCAAATCCTTGAGTTGTGAATTTTTTGTAAGCTAAGAAATTATTCTGGGGAAGTACCACCACATCTTTGCCTTATTATTAAAGTCTCTCTCAGGCACCCATTACTGCCTAATGAGAAAGGCAGACGACCTTGGGCAGCAAAATCTCTTTTCTGAGGTTGTACAATCACATTCTTCCTCTTTGCATGCTGTACTTATTAGCAAGGAGATAGTGGGTGGTTTCAGTTCAGGTGACATGAATCAGATTGCCGGGTTATTTCTGTCCCACTGAGGGGCCTTAACAGAGGGAGAAGTCCTCAGTATGATGCAATAAAATATGCACAGAGAGGCTGGTGGCTGGAACATGATGAGCAACAAGGGGACATCAGCAGGTGAGGGTTTACATGTGGGCTGATGCTCAATGTGATTTGTTGGAGGTTGTCTCTATGTGCCCATGTGCTGTATTTGGCTCAAGCTATGGTGCATCCTGGGACTGTATAAACTGCATCGTTTTTGGATGAAACTATACCCAAAAAAGTGCTTTCAGCCCATGGCAGTAGGGATCCAGAAAAGAGCTGGTGTGAAGTAAAACCTCAAAACACACATAGTGTGGGCACTGGCAGCACAGGTTTCCCTGGAGGGATTGCTCCAGCAGGTCTGCGCTGCTCGCTGTTTTATACATCGCCTAAGCTACAAGAGAGAGCACACAACGGCTTGGTATAAGAGCAGTTTAACATTCAAACAGGACATGACTGGGACCAAACACAATTATACTTTGCCAAATATAGCACTGTTGAAAATAAGGTAGAGCGTTGACTTTGTACAGTGAGGAGACCAGAATCAAAATTACTTCTCCATGTGTAAGGACTGACCTTGGGAGAAGAGTAGCTCTCTCCTAATGGCAGACTCAAGCCTTTAACCTTCACAGATCTCATGCTCAGAGTAGAATTTTTGCTGGCTGGGGTTTGTGGGTGTTTTTTGCTTCTGGGGAAATACTCGCTGTCAGTTTTAGTATAATTACCCCATTTAAGAAAATAGAAAAGTCATCTGGATTTCTGGGTGCCTTTTCTCAGTCTTTATTATTATCTTCTAGAAACTTATTTAATTCTTATTACTTATTTCATTTTTTGACATTATTTAATATTTTTATGACTCTTATGACACATTTTTCCTTTTATATTTTTCTGGTGGTACTTCAAGCTTGACAGAAACATTCCTTTTCCTTACCCAGAACCACTGCTAGAACTGCTGAGGTAGGAGAGCTAGAGAACACTAAATTTCTCTCTCTTTCTTCTTTTTTTTTTTAATAACTATCCTTCTTGTTTAATTACTACCTCATTAGGAAAGCTCTTTCCTGCCACATCAAAATTAATGTCTTTCCTACTTCATTTTGTAAGATTCATCATTAACCTAATATCAGCCTTTGAAAAGATATGTATTCCAAAAGGCTATCCATTAAAAGATAAATATTCTGTGTATTCTGCACTGCACATGGGAGACAAGGACAGTTCAGTGGTTAGGACACTCCTTGCACTATTCATTTCCTTGCACTTCTGCTGACTTCATGTATATCTACAGGAAATCCACTTATTCTCTCTGCTTCAGTTTTTCATCTGTGGGATTTTTTGAAGAATAGGTTATTCAGCCTACAGCAGAAAATGGTCCATAACAAAAGTGAGGCTTCACAAATATTTCCGAAAGAGGAACACGCTAACATGAAAAGTTTTAAATCCAGCTGTGCTATGAAATATACGCACTCCCATCTCCCCAAATCTGGGGAACATGCTGCACATCACTGCCATTGCCAACAGCAATTTCTAAAATAAAGATTTTTTTAGAAAAGCATTTCTAGCAAAAGATTTCTTTGCATCTCTTCACTCAGCCTGACTGATCTAAAGGTGATGGCTTGATGGCAGGGCATTGGAAGAGGCAGTAGCAAGTGCATGTTTGAGAATTTACTGCAGTATGTTTGTCACATCAAAGATACAAAACACATCCCTCACAAAGCACCTGCCTTGACATATCTGACAGTTTTTGAATATGCTGGCACCTTGACTTGATCTTGAAAAAGTTTTGTAATATTAAATCATTTCTCCTCTAAGTTATTATTTATGAGCTCCCTGAAGAGGCTGTGAGAGGAGGGCTCAGACAGCAGAATCTGAGCTCCTGGGAACTCAGAGAAGGGGAAGATCATCCAGGCTCTCCCGGGGGC